GCAGGGAGGGAGGCCCCTGATTCAGCAGGCTGGAGGAAATGGAAATCTTGACGAGAGAAGTTTGGATATAGGAATGAGAACAATTAATTTCACCACCTTGGGCCCGCTTCCTCTGTAAAATGGGAGATTCCAAATGGATAAGAGTTAAGATTCCTTCCACTACTTTGGAGTGTACACTTTTAAGATGGAAAATTTTTCTGAAAAAGGAAAAACTGACAGAGACATGAAAAAATTAGAAGCTGGGCATGATGGTGTATGCCTGTAATCTCACTATTTAAAAGACTGAGGCAGGAGGATCACTGCAAGTTTGAGGCCAGCCTGGGCTACATAGTGAACTCATGGCCAGCCCAAACTACACAGCAAGATCCTGTCTCAAAAAAAATAAAATAAATAAAAAATTACAGTATAAAAAACTATGCTATTTGGGAATTATTAGTCATCCAAACTGTGTGGTTATTGGTACTCTTTTACATAAAAGTTATTTAGGATATTTAAACAAATTATCAAATAAACCAAGGAAACAAAATAGAGCTAGTAGCTAGAATTATTCTCAGCATACCCAAATTATACAATGTATATTATCGAAAATAGAACCAAAAGTTATAGGTGGCATGTCTGTGACTCAGTTACTTGTGATGCTAAGGAAAGAAGACAGTGAGTTCAAAGCCAACCTGCACCACTTAGGGAGACCTTGTCTCACAAGGGGGGCAATCAGCAGATTCAATCCCTAGTACCACACACCAGAGAAAAGCAAGCACCAAGAAACTCTCCCTAGCTTCCTTCCTGTAAAGTTCCTTAACAATTATTCCCAGACACAATGCACACTCAGCCACACTCAAGCAGCACCTGCCGGGCTGTGTGAGTCCTTGGCTGTTTATGTACCCCTCACCCACTCTGAAAGGACTGGCCACCTTCGCAGAGGGAAGAAAAAGTTCAAAGATAACAGAAACTTGCATGTTGACTTTATGAAACTTTGTAAGATTTCATGAAACACTTCTCTATAGCTGTATCTCAGCCAGTAAAAACTTAACCCTAGTGTTATATTAAAATAAATAACCCCCAAAAGAGGGAGAGAGGCAGTGGTAGAGGGACACCTGCGGACACACACAACCTCGATGAAGCACTGCCAAGGCAAGTGAAGCTCCTCAGGGCTTCTCTAAGTGTGTCAGCATGGGGCCGGGGAGATGCCTCAGTAGAGTAAGCGCTTGCATGGCAAGCTCAAAGGCCTAAATTCAATCCCCGGTTCCGCAAAAATAAATAAATAAATAAATAAATAAATAAATAAATAAATAAATGTGTCAGCTCTGTCCCTTTCGAGACATAGTACTTTGTCTTGAATTTTCACCCAAGGTTAAGTGCTAAAAAATTACCAGGGTCTTTGCTTTGCCAAGGGCACCCTAGACGTATTTCCCTATTGCCTATGACTGTTCTTTTAAAGCAAAGTGAGGCTAGAGATTGTCATACTATTTGTGAACTTTGTTAATTTGGTTGAGATTAACCTGGCCCCCATGTGGAGACGGGCTCCTAGGTGACTTGACAGAAAGATTAGACCGTGTTCCAGAGGGTGTAACTGTTCTGTACCACAGGTCTAGCCCTTGACACCTTCCAAAGCTGTAGTTACCCTTGCCTTAAGAACTCTAAGGGGTCTTTGGCCTGCTCATGGTGTGGACATACCATTACACTCCTCTAGCTAAAGTCCTGAAGTGAGGAATCAGCAAGACCAACGTCAAGCAGAGCAGCAGACAACAGGACACCTAGTTCCAGGGCTTCCACATTTCCTCCATCATCATACATTAACAAAACTGTAACTTTCAAACCCAGGAGACAGCTCCACATAAGGAGGGTGAAGAGGGAGGCAAGGTGGGTAATAACGTGTTGGGGTCCTGCCACATCCTATGTCAATGCAACCTGGAGAGGCGGTGGTAGAGGGACACCTGCGGACACACACAACCTCGATGAAGCACTGCCAAGGCAAGTGAGGCTCCTCAGGGCTTCTCTAAGTGTGTCAGCATGGGGCTTGTTCAATTTCAGGGACCACCTGGCATTCCCTGAACCCTAATTCCTAGGGAGGGCTCCTTGGGAGGTCCTACTGCATACCTAAGCTTCAGACACCATCCCAAGCAAGTGTCCTGGAGTCCACACATCTGTGTCAGGGAGGGGGTTAGATTCTAAGAGTGAAAGTAAACTACCCTTGAACCCTTCACCAACATTCATACAATATAAATGGCTTTTGGGGGTTACCCTGTATAATGTGCACTGCTTATAGTAATGAGACAAGAGGAATGAGTATACATATATAGTAAACCTCTGAATAAGTTAAATGTTCCAATTATATGACCCAGTGTCCCAAGAATACTATGACATACAAACTATCTCTGCCACTTGAAGGTTGTGTGGTTTGCCTCAAGAGACCAGGTGGGAAGGGCTAAAATCAGAATTTAGCCTTCTGTCTACTTCTAAACCTGGTCATCTTTTTATTTTTACCACACTGCCACAGGCCGTGTTTTGGTATTTCCCTGGAGGGTAAAGTTCGGAAATATCCCAGGAGGTCTGGAGCCACTGCTATGTCAAACATCCATTTAATTTTTAGTTTTTTTTTATTTGTGTGTGTGTGTGTGTGTGTGGCCAGCTCAGCGGGGGAGGGGGTCTGACTGGCATGTGGTGCTGGGGGATTGAACCGCGGTCTCTGTGTTTTGCTAAGCTTGTTCTAAGTAGGTGCTTTAGACCACTGAGCCATCCCACCAGCCCCCTAAACATCCATTTAAAAAGACAATTCTGTATGCTGTAAACTGAATGATAAAACAATAGAGGCATGAACTATCAGCATAGATGGGAACCAAAAAAGGCTAACGAGGCTCTAAGCAGTGCCAAGGCAGCAGCAGACTGGGGTGTGTTAGGAGGGATATATTCAACTTCCAATATGAAATGTTATCATTGTAGGTGATTTAAGTATCTTCCATAGTTACTTCCTACTGCAGTTAATGTATCTTTATTTTAGCGAAAAAAGAAATCCTATTTTTCTCAGAGAGAACAGACTTTGTTGATTAGAGAACAAAATCTCAAAAGAGGGCTTCCCACTCCCCCAGGCTCTGAAAAGGCAGGACCTGCAGCTGAGAGGTTATAGGTGCTGGCCAGTGACCATGCAGCCATGTGCCTTCCCCCACTACAGGTGAAACACCACTATTAGCACAGCGCGTAGCACTGTTTTTTGAATCTGAGTTACTGTACTGTCTCCATCCCACATACTTGGAAACTTAAAAGAGTTTGGAACTTTGTCCAAAGGCAGTCATTATTCGGTGCACTAGGATAGATTTACGTGTGCACCATACTGTTTGAGGCATTTTGCATGTATTAATCTGATCCTCCTTAGAATCCAATGAAACAGGTGCCATAATAAGTTTCACCCATAAGAAAAAGGATGCACCAAGGGCTTGGATAACCCATTCAGCTCCCATAAGGAGCTAGTGGAGAGGGGCCCAGCAAAGGAATTCAAGAGAAGCTCTGGTCTCAGCCTTCGGCCAACAGCAATCACTGGTCGACTGGCTGATAGACTGCTGGGCCCTAGACCCGGTTTCTGAATCCTTTAGCTAGATAGCACCTGTGAACGCCCGCTCCCACAAGTCCCTAGGGATGCTGGTGTTGCTAGTGCCAGAACCAGAGATTGAGAGCAGCCATCCCAGCTGGAACTCCTAATCAAGATACAACAAACTACTCATCACAAAGGTACACGTGTTTCTTGTTTTAAAAATTCCGCCTGGAGAACTATTAGCAACAAAACTTAAAGCATGAATTAATTTCTAGAATTTCCAAGTCGGCTCCCTATGGAGGTTTTTTCTTTTTTTTTCTTTTTTTTTCTAGTTAAATCAAATACAGCCACAAATGAGTATTTTTTTTTTCTTTTTTTTGCTAGTTAAATCAAATACAGCCACAAATGAGTACTTTAACAACACCAACTACAACGCAGCGACTTCCACGCTCGCTCGGGTCCTGCACGCGGTAGGCAGCCGCCGCGCGGACCACGTGCTCCGGGACGCCGCAGCCAGGTACGGGCGGCCGGGGCCAGGTTCCCGGGACGCGGCCTCTGCTCGGGCCAAGGACGCCGGGGCAGCCCCACCCCAAATGGCCCGCAACTGCCCCGCTCGGCCAGATTTATTTCCAGTTTCTTGAGTTCCTTGGGTCCAGGGTGAACAATCTCGTATCCCACATCTATGCTTGGCCGGAAGAGAAAATTCCAAGTTCCTTTCCCAGGTCTGACGCCCCGAGGCGCGGAGGGAGAGGGCGCCGGGGGACGGGCCCCACCCCGACCTCCAGCCCCGGGCGGGGAAAGGGGCAGCCATCTTGCAC